ACTTTACTAACAGTTTTTAGACTTTACTAACAGTTTTTAGACTTTACTAACAGTTTTTAGACTTTACTAACAGTTTTTAGATTTTACTAACAGTTTTTAGACTTTACTAACAGTTTTTAGATTTTACTAACAGTTTTTAGACTTTACTAACAGTTTTTAGATTTTACTAACAGTTTTTTATCCTCTTCTCTCAGTTTAGAAGGAGGGTTCTGCAGTTTGTTTTGGAAACTCTAACCTTGTTACAGAATAAATCTGGACCCACCTCTCCTGCCGGACGGCGTGAGGGAAGATTCGGAGGATCTCTTTGTGCAGCAGCGCCACCTGCTGGAGGCCCGTCAGCTCCTCCCTGAGCTTCACCTCCAGGCTGTAGCCCCGCCCGTACTTCCCCTTCAGGTGCTGGATGGAGCCGATGCACCTGTTGGGACAAAAACAAGACGCGTGAGGCCGCGGGACCCTCCAGGACCACCAGACCTGAGGAGTCTCCCGACGCTTCAGGACCTCAGCTGGCCCGAAACCAGGATGGCCACGCGGTCGCAGACGGCCTCGGCCTCCTCCATGTAGTGTGTGGTGAGGATGGCTCCTCTCTGACGGTTCCTGAACGCAGCACGCATCGCTCTCCTGCAGGGGGACACCGCAGGTCACCCCAGTGTTTGTTCACAAACAACAGCTAAACTGGTTTTATTTGTATAATAAATCTAATCTCACCACATGCGCTGTTTGGATTTAGGATCCATTCCTGACGACGGTTCATCCAGTAAAACAATCTGAGGATTCCCGATCATACTGAGAGCGAAACACAGCTGCAAACAAGCAAAAAGTTTATTAAACTTCAAACTAAAAGGCTTTTATTGTGAAAAACAAAAATAAACGTATTATGAATTCATTAAATTTTAATTTCTTCTCACCTTCCGTTTGAGTCCAGCTGAAAGAGTTTTGGCCTGTTTGTTTAAATGATCCTTCAGCTCCAGAGCGTTGGACACTCTGTAAACAACAACAACAGGAAGCTGAAATAGAAAACCCGAAACCCGTTCTCTGTAAGAGAAGTGTTCCTCTCTGGTTCCGTCAGACCCACCGTCTGATGATGCCGGGGACCTCGTGTCCTTTCAGACCCTTGATGGCGGCGTAGATCTCCAGGTGCTCCTGCAGAGTGACCCGGGGCCACAGAGGGTTCACCTGAGGACAGTAGCCCACGTGGTCCAGAGGACTGTCCACCGGACTGAACTCGGTGCTGTAGTCTCCCATTAGAATCTGGACACAAACACAACAACATCCACTTCATGTTTTTAACACGTTTTAACCCAAAGCTGTCCCAGAAATTAATCTGTTACTTTTCAGAACATCTATAAAAACAAACTGTTATGGTGATATTTATTTAACAAAGACAGAAATACGTGGTCCAAGAATGAAGGTACTCCGTGGGATGATCAGCTGAGTTTTATTGCGACAACAGGAAACACAGAGAACCTGGCCTGTCTCTGTGCCTCTGCTTCTCTCTGTGTCAGTCTCTCCACACTTCTGTTGAACTCTGTTGAACCCTGTTGAACACTGTGTCTCGAGAGGCCTCATATATATACAGTATTAAAAAACACCATTATGCCATCTTAGCAAGATTTGATACAAGGTCAATGGAAAACACAAAGATAAACACAAGTGATATCTAAGAATGACTGTTGTTAGCAAATCTTGTTGTGACTTTAATCATTCTGTCTGCAGATGAACAGCATGTCATGAAAACCTAGGTCATAACAGGATGTCATCAATTACTTGCTTAAACATAAAAGTATTAGATTTGTTTTTATTATTACTTTGAATTCAAATAAAGTTTTCTAATGTCTGATTTTTTGAATAAAACAAAGTTTAAATTCTTTACAGAACCGTGAGACAAATACAACGTCGAAAACATAAATTTTTAAGACACCATTTGTCACCAGGGGATGCAAGACTGGGCACAGCTCAGTTAGTCTCTATAGAAGAGTTGCGCAAAGTTTGGCCCACCACTTTCACTCATGGTGCTGACTTCATCTTTGATTTATATTAAAAGGGGCCAAWATTATATATATATTTAAATTCTATACCATAATAAATTAACTGCATCACCTTCACTTGTTATTAAAATGCTGTTTTTATGTTTAAATAGAAAATAAACGTGACTTCTCATCATATCTGTTTCTTAACACCTTGAAATTGGCCTCTGTCTCTTTAAGAACCTCCTTCTGCTTCTGTCCCGCCCATTTCAGCACAGGGCCGGGTGTGCTTTGATGAGGAAGCTCAGCTTGGAGACACAGCCCAGAGGAGGAGCTAATCCTAAAAGGCGGTTCTAGTCCCTACCAGTGGTTTCTGCTCCCCTGCCTGCTGCCTCAGGACACTACAGGATTTCTCCAACATGAATGAGTCAAAGTAAGACTCTGGGCATGTTTTTGATGAGAGGATAACATTATAACATGATATAAAACTCAAAATAGTTGATTTTACATCATACTGCCCCTTTAAGATTAACCATGAAATACAAGTAACTAAAAGAAGCATTTAGATTAGATTTAAGCACAATTGTAGACCACAAATACTCATATTTGATCAATTTATGAAATGTCACATGAGCCTTTGCTGCCTGAGCATATGTCAAACTTTCTCCAAGTGCACGGGCTAAAAATAAAAAACAAAAAACAAAGTGTGCTGCACTAGCTGCTAGCTTAAATCATAAAAAAGGAATTTACTGAAGCAGCATTTTTATTTTATGTATTATATTATTGCTAAGGCTGCATAATATTACGTAAACATGCGATGTGCGATAACAGTGCTTAATATTGCGATGACGATATGACTTGTGATAAATTAAATACGTATGTAGTGTTGATATCTTTCTGCTTTGGGTTCAAAGCCCAGTAAACAACCTAAAAAAGTTAATCATTTCCATTCCAGCCTGAATTTTTTTTTAATTGATAAAATACATGAAGGGCTCTATTTGATTGGTGAAATATTTGAAGCTTCCATCTGAATGACAAAATGCATAAATGCAAACTTTTGAGTCAACCATTTAGTGCAGTTTATGCAGTTGTTGCGATATGCATATTGCACAGGTAATTATCGCGATGACGATAATTTTGCAATATATTGTGCAGTCTTTATTGCATTTGGTCGCAGCCCTCTGGCACATTTTTATTTCAGCCCTCTTGAGGAGAAAGTTTGTGCACCCCTGCTCTACAGAGTGATTAATTGTAAACTGAGGCTCCTGAGTCCTGCTGTCAGCCTCAGACTTCTCTTCATGTTTCCGTTTTATTTATTCAGCCTCTTCTCATTGTGTTTTTATAAAACCAGTTGGATTGCGGCTTACCTGTCCTGACGTGGGCTCGGTGTCACCTGACAACATGTGCATGACGGTGCTCTTTCCTGCTCCATTGGGGCCCAGCAGTCCCAGGACCTCACCTGAGGAGACAGCAGGTTAGATTCTTCCAGAAACCATCACACGGTTTGTGATTAAATTTATTTATTTTTTAAACCTTTGCGGACGCAGAAAGAGATGTTCTTCGAGGCCACTTTGGTCTTCTTGCCAAAAGAGAAACCTTCTTTCCTGCCGGTGTAGAGCTTCCTCAGGTTACTGACGACAACAATCGGCTTCTGAAAAATATTTGATTTATAATAAAACACAGGTTTGGTTATAAAAAGCTTTTATTTAAAAGGTGACCTCACCTCTTCACAGGACTGACAGGTGAGCGCCTCCTTCACTCGAGCCTTCTCCATCTGAACGTCCTCATCCTCATTCAGTCCTTCCTCAGGGACTCGCTCTGCTTTGGCTTTAGTCTTTCTGTAAACAGGACGTTTATCAGATTTATGTGACATTTCTCTGGAACCTGAGAGTTGATCTGACAGGTGACCCTCACCTGCAGAGCTGATCGCTGTTCAGCGCCCGCCCTCCGTAACGCATCTCCAGCCACCGGAGCATGAGGAGCAGAATGATGCACTGCAGGTAAGGCTGAGCGGAAAAAAAACAAAAAACTCAGCCCTGTTTCTGGATGTTTGGGTCAAATGATGTAAGACAGAGATTCTTAACCCATGGGCCACAGCGCCACCTTGAGGGCCTCAGAAGAACAACAGTTTTTAACTTTGGGCCACAGAGGGCCTCCGGACTGCATTGATTTAGAATAAGGCGCAATACACTTTCTCACCACTAGTAGCAGTAGTGCACCACTCAGATGTTTAACAACTTATTTTTAACACAGAAGAAGAACCTTAGAAATCTATTTTAAATTAAAAGTAGAAGCAAAAATAAAGGTAACCCATCAAAAAACACCAAAGTTTGTCACTAATATGAAGAGCAGCTTCTGGTTCTAACATGCAAAAGTTTAAAAGTTTAAATTGCATAAATCGCAAATTTTCCTTTGCAAATTATCAAATTTATTTTTACAGTTTTTTTATTTGAAACATTTACATTGAATTTTCTATTTTTGTTGTTTATGTTAATATATATATATATTTGTGYTGATAAGCCTGAGTGGTCTGTTGACTGACCGTTGCATTTGTTCAAATAATTGTTATGGGCAGGTTACAATATAAAAATGTTTGTCATAATCATGTCTTGTGATTATTTGACAGGATTTTTACTTTTAAAATTTAAGTGTATTTAATACACATTAAACCAAGATTTAGAATAATTATCATTTGATCCATACATTGGTAATGTCTGACTGGGCTTCGCGTCATTTGATGTTCAAGAAATTGGACCCGAGGTCAAAAAGGTTAAGAACCCCTGATAAACTTACAGCTACAACTGAAATGAGCAAACTTTTCCATAAGAAGTTCTCCTCGTAGAGAGTCGGCAGGAAGGTGGCCTGAAATCCAAAACATCGGAGAGATGAAGGGAGATTAACCTGCAACATCTGGCAAATTAAATCCTCAACCAAACGGTTTTAACTCAGAGTTTAGGAGCAAACCTTAGTGATGCAGTTCAGGCAGCCCATCAGAGGATACAGAGGGTTCAGGAGACACAGGGCGTTGTGCAGAATCCTCGTCAGCTCAGGGTTATCGTTGACAAACGAGAACTGAACGATGGAGGCGGACACCACGCACACCTGCAGCACACACATCATTTAATCCCCGCCGCGGTCAAACGAACCTGCTGTTCTCTGTGCTCCCCTCTCACCATCATGGAGATGAAGGAGAAGAAGTCCCTGTTGCTCTGGACTCGCGTAAACCCAAAGGAAACCACGTATGTGAAGAGGATCATGGCCGGACCGAAGCCGACGGTGCAGAGGACCTGGGAGAGGCGAAGCAACGAGGTGAGGATCAGAACAAACCGGATCAGATCTGCGAGTGTGGTGCAGCTGCTGTACGGACCACCGAGGTGAGGTGGCTGGGCTTCAGCAGGTTTCCTGAGTGGAAGGAGAAGAAGATGATGTTCATGCAGGACAGGATGATGTAGTAGAAGGGGATGTCCACGGCCGCCTGGCCGCACCAGTAGGCTGAGGGTATCAGACCGGAGATACGCAGCGTGGAGCGGCACTTAATCTGAGGACAGAGAGAAAATACAATCCAGCTTCTTACTAATCATTTCAGAGCTTTAATCTTATCCAAAACCATGACACAGGCCAGCAGTTACAGGATAAAATAACATTTCTGCAGATGTCAGCTCTGAAAACCAAATTTAATAATGATTAAAAAAATTTTAAGGTTTTATTATGGGATAAATCTTGTGCCAGCAGGAAGTGAATCTGAATGCTCAGATTGAATCTGAATGTGCATAATTTTAAATTGAATGCATTGGTTTGAAAATGAATTTTATTAAATTGAAACTGAATTTAAAGTTTTGTATCTGAATTAATTTGCTTTGAAACTGTATTTTGGTTTATTAAAAATTCAGTTTGACTACTTTCACTTTCAGTTCCATAATTCAGATTTTTGTGTCACATCCTGGTCCTTGAGAAAGCCAGGCAGAGTAATCAAACACAGATCCACAGATTTATGTTTCACTTTGGTGAAGTTTCCCTTCTGTAACAGAGTTGATGTAATCCACCGTAAAAGTGACAAAAACAGACAAAGTTATTTTATTGCAGTGATTAATTTTACCTGTAAAAAAATGTTACATTTACATCACATCATGGATCACATATTGAATCAGATGCTGCTGCTGACTGATCCATGATGTGATGTAAATGTAACATTTTCTACATATAGGTCAAATTAATCACTGCAATAAAATAACTTTGTCTGTTTTTGTCACTTTTTTATAATATGAAATAATGATTGAAAAACATTAGAGTTTTTGATAATGATTCAAAACATTTCTTAGATTTAATTTAGTTATTTTTTAATGTTTTTTTCTCATCTTCCCTCCAGCTTTCTGAGGCCTCACTAGCGCCCCCTGCCTCACTTTGAGAAACACTGAATTACCAGAATTAYCTCCTCCGCCTCTTTTAAAGGAGTAAATGCAGGATTACCTCTCGATCCCGAGTGTGATCCATGGCAAAATAAGCCGGCATCCCAGCCGCCAGCATTCCCAGCATGATGGCCTCGATGTAGACCAGAGCGTACGAGATGGCATCTGGGATTTGCTGCAAAATGACACAATAATCTGCATCATCCACAAACCAAAGAAAACAACTGTCAACATAACATGGATCTGAGCGATCACTCACAAATTCAAAGGGTTTGGTCCAGGTTCTGATCTGCCCAGAACCGTTCAGACCTCTGAGCAGAGCGTTGCTCAGGATGTTGACGGCCATGGGCAAGGAGTGAACGTTGGTGCTGTTAAAGGCCACGACGTATTTAAAACTCTGTCAGAACATAGCAAGTGTTATTACAGGTGCCAGAGACTCAACAGAACCAGGTGCGAGCTAATCGGACCTTGTTGGATCCTGTGACGTTGATGGCAGCGCTGTGAGGAGCCTCGGACATGTAGTCCCTGTGCTTCATCAGCTCCACCTTGATATCCTGGTACTCCAGGTTGCTGATGAAGTCGGAGATGTCAGAATCTGTCAGAGGAGGAGTTTATTTTTGTTATTTCTGCTCCGTGCAAACATCAAGCTGTGACGGAAACAGAACCTGAACCTGCGGCGGGCTCACCTGACGTGTTCTGGACCAGGAGGCCCGAGGCGTATCTGTGGGGCGCCTGGTTCTTCTTCAGGAGGTACATGGGCAGAAAYTGACGTTCTGGAGAGCGAGTCTGAATCGTTCCTGTGGCCAGAGAGACGGCGAGGACGGCAGTGACGAACAGMAGGAACAGGGCCAGGCTGCAAAAATAAAAACAATCATTTCAGTTTAAGGCTGTGTGGTAGATGTGATAGACKGTAGAAACAATATGAAATTGGTCTATGGTAGAAATTTACCCTCTATCATCCTGTCATCAGTTACATCATCATACCTGTGTCAACATGGCTGTGAGTGCAGAGACAACTGAGCAGGAGGAGTTTGAAATATAATGAAGAAATTTAGTATTTTAAATTTAGTGTTTTTTTTTAGTGGCTCTTGGACAACTCTTCTGATGCTTTGCAACAATAAGGTTGTGAAGGTCCTGAGAGAGCTCTTTACTTTTACCCATCATCAGATGATTCTTGTGTGATACCTGGCCATCATTTGGGACTGAATCAGCTGATATTAACTTGCACTGACAAGGGGCAGGCTTGTTTTCTAATTWCTGAGAGAGTTCAGCTGGTGTCTTGTCTTTCCATGCCTTTTTACACCTCCCTTTCTTCATGTGTTCAATACTTTTTCCCTGTGCCATTCCACATTATTACAAATAACTTCATTTCTGGACATTTATGGTTTGATTTCTTTGTATGTATGGATCACTTGGGTTGTTACCGACATCTGGAGAAAATTTCATGTCATTAGCTGAGAAAAATGGTGACGTGTTCAATACTTATTTTACCCGCTGTATACTGTTACTGTGAAGGGATTCAATTTATACCCTGACATGAATCTGAGGTCATACCACCCAGCCCTATTTCAGACAGAACCAACAGTCCAGTTTTAAATCAGAACCTGAATCTCCCATCACTCACGTGTAAACGAAGGCCTTCCACTCACGACGCATGTTGAGCATGTGCAGCCACGCCACRGTGCTGAACTGCTGCCGCCACAGAGCGTGACCCGACACCAGGTCGGTCTTGTTGTCMGAGAAGCTGAGCAGGCGCTGATCCGTTTCATCCAGAGAGGCGTCGTCRCACTCGTCCTCCGCCTGCTCCCGGTTAAACACACTGTAGTCTGGAGACAGAAAAACACACAGGTGACTTCATTTGTTTTACGCGTTAAACGATAAATAAACGCAACGTTCAGCRCTCACCTGCTTGATCCACTTCAGCTTCCGCCTCCAAACGAAGGAAAACATCCTCCAGCGTTGTCATGGAGACGCCATAATTAATTACCCCCAGCTTCGGCTGCGAGTCGAGCTCCGAAAACAAGCCTGAGAATCCAACAGGTCGGAGATGATGATTATAACCCAACGTGGGTTTAAAATCAGAGAAACAGACTAGTAAAGAGACCTGGAAAGGTGTCCATGCTCTCCAACGGCAGCGTGAAGGTTAGCTCCGCCTCCTGCTGCCGGGACAGCTGGGCTTTAGGAACGTGTTGCTGGATCAGAGACGAGACCCGTTCTGCGTCACAGCCCTCGCCGATCGACATCCTGTAAGAAGACAGGAAGTTCAAGTCTGAACCCCGTCGATGTTTTCATGAAAACAACCGAAGAGCTTCTTACCTGAGATGATATCCGACGCCACACTTGATCTTCAGGTAAAGAGAAGAGCCGACGCACTTCAGCTGGCCCTGAGAGATCACAGCTTTACGATCTGTAAAAACACCAGGAGGAGGCTGGGATCAAGACAAAAACAAAGGTTCCTCCTCACCAGATTACAGCGAAACATTCATTTCTGATTCAAAAGGCTGCAGGACCAAAGTGAACGAGGTAAAACGCTTTAAAAACTTTAAGAGTCTAAATAAAATCTCCTGTAACTTTTATACAAAACTGTAAATAATGAAGAGATGAAAGCAGAATTTGGACAAGTTTATAAATATAAAGCCTGAGACACGCCCTCTACCTGRCAAGTTATCACTAAATAAACTGAACAGAGCTTCAGTTCCAGGTCCGGTCTTCCTGTAGGACCTACTTAAATCCCCTTTAATCTAGCAGCTGTGTCATCAGAGGAAGTCCACGCTCTCGTACCTGCAAGRATGTCCGCCTCGTCCATGTAATGGGTGCTGAGGACGATCACTCTTCCAGCTTGCCGACTCTTCAGCAGAGACCAGACCTGATGCCTTGAGCACGGGTCCATTCCTGCTGTGGGTTCATCCAGGAGCAGGATCTGACCCAAACAAAACCAATCGTAAAACCCTTCAGTATTTAAACATCCACTAAACGAACWCATCGTGTTAACTCTGAGGAGGTAAGAAGCATCCAGAAACCTTTGGGTCTCCCAGGATGGCGATGCCCACAGACAGCTTCCTCTTCTGGCCTCCGCTCAGATACTTGGCCTGAGCCGTCATGATCTTCTCCAGATCCAGGTCCTTCAGAACTTTGGAGACCTGTCAGGGAAACATCAGTGCCTTCAAATCGCACACAAGATGGCTCGGCTCCCTCTCTGCTCGCTCAGCTCTGCTCTCAGATCAGTGTTACTGTGCACTCAAGCTGGTGGCACAAGAGTAACGCCATAGTTTTGCTCCATATTTCTAGATTCTTGACTTCATTTATTGTAGATCTTTTGATATAATCCAACATTAACCATCTGCTGCAGGAAATGAAGCTGTGAGTGGGTACGTCATTAAGGCTACCTCAGCATCGACGTCTGCAGGTGGGATCCCTTTGATGGCAGCGAAGATCCTGAGGTGCTCCTCCACGGTCAGAACGTCGAAGATGATGTTGAACTGAGGGCAGATTCCCACCAGCTGCTTCATCTCGGACCCCTCTGCGATCTCCGCCACAGGAGAGCCGTAGATGGTGGCCGAGCCGTTGGTGGGCGGGCAGATTCCACACAGGATGTTCATGAGAGTGGACTTTCCGGCGCCGCTGTGTCCCAGCAGAGCCGTGATCTGGCCCTCGTAGATGTCAAAGGTCAGGCCTGAGGAGAAACAGACGTGACAAGGAGTCGTCGCGTCAGAACGAAGAGCGAGACGTCACGAATCAGACCGCTCACCTCTCAGAGCCTCCACCACGTTGTCCTTGTCTTTGTAGACTTTCTGGATGTTGTTGATGCTGTCAGAGAAAAATCAAAATATCTACTACAAATTTCTTTAAGTTCTTACTTGTTCTGTAAAATGATTCAGAAGTCCCGATCCAGTCCTTATTTATTATTTTTACTTCTAAGCAGCCAAATGTTCTGAAGATGTTTCAGAGCCTGAAGAACCCATTTAAACTGGTTCTTTTCTCAGTTTTCAGTCCACTAAAAACTGCTTCCTCCTGAGTTTAGGAGCTTTTTTCTGTCTGTTTTTAATTATATTTATAACAAGTCATGAAAGCTAAAGAGCTTCTTGTGTCGTTCAGCTTATAAAGTTAATAAATAAAGATGACAAAATATAAGAATTTCAGCCGGAACCAGATTTTTACCGGATGGCTTCCTTCCCTCTGAACTCAGGAGAAATGGGTTCAACACACTCCTCCCCACCAGGACCGCCGTTCACTTCAGCGTCGTAAACTGAGCTCACTTCAGCGTAACGCTTCCTGCGTTTGGACCAATAGGACGGCTTCAGGAAGTAGACCAGGGACCTCCTCAGTCCAAAATCACCTACACACCAGACCACATGTTGAAGATGTGAAGGACAGATTCAGACTGTTTTAATAGTGTTCCTAACTCACCTGGAAGCACCTGGTCCAGGTAGATAGCCAGCAGAAGGTAGAGCACACAGTCCAGGAACAGCATGACGAGAGGGACATACAGAGGATGAGGACCGTTGGTCAAAGAGGAGAACACAGCGCCATCGCCCTGCGCCTCCAGGTAAACCACCTGATTTATAAAAAAAAAAAAACAGAAAATTAGAAACTGAGTTTATTTTTCTTGTGGGTGTTCGGAGGAAGTGAGCCGAGACGTGGCGTGTTCTGGCCACCTGTGCGATGCCGATGGAGAAGGCGCTGGGGGAGAGCAGGCAGAGGAGCCAGACCAGCGGCTGCGGGAAGTCCTTCATCAGGACGGTGAAGAGCGACATGCAGCCGAACACCACCGTCAGCATGGAGCCCACCGTGCTCGCAAACTTCGGCTTCTTGAACAGCGGCGTCAACATGAAGGAGAAAAAGATCTGAGGGGGAGACGGACAACAAACATCTGAAATTACAACTAGGTAGGCACGATAACTTATTTTACGAACCGATACCGATAACTTTCTCCTTCTAACTGTCAATAACCGGTTATAACCAATARCATGCCAGGAGATAAGACTAGTCAAAAATGGGTAAGATCATAACATAAATAAGACCAAAATCACATGATGCTGTAAATTATAATATTTGAAATAAACTCTTAGCAAACAAACATTTCTTTATCCATCCATCCATCCATTTTCTGTACACGCTTCTTCCTTTTCAGGGTTGCGTGGGTCACTGGTGCCCATATCCAGCAGTCA